AATGAGTCACCCACTCCTGCACCTACGGGATTCCCATGATTAGACTGTGAATACAGTTGACTCACATAGTGCAAAGGGGACAAAATAATTAAAGATCTTCCCAACATGCAGTAGAATGTTTGGTTATTCAGGTCATGACAGCCTGGGCTGTGACTGTGGAAAGGAGGCCGATGCTTTGATCACCGTGTCCATGAGTGATTGTGGTTGTTATGTCCTCCCACCTTAGTGACCAAGGTAATGCTAAATACTTAACTTCAGCTGAGCTAAGTAGGAGGCTACGATTTCTTCCACAAATTGTGTTCATTTGCAGGTCGAGAATAAAGAGGAGTATTACTTTCACATTAGAGGGTGACCCGTAAATGATTAGGAGGTTAAAATCATTACTCACAGGCTACACCATTAACTATTAGCAGCTTAATGCAAGAATACTTTTTAAAGATTCTCCAAATTTTGTCTTGTTACAACCACCAACTGCACCGTTTATCACTATCACTGTCTATCACTGTATCTGATAAACTAAATAAATGTAATGCAGACATTTGAGACAAAGGGAATTGTTTCAGGGTGGCTCAGTGGAGCAGTCGGTAGCACTGCTGCTTTGCAGCAACAAGGTTTGGGTTTAATTCCAGGTCCAGGGTCTTTCTGCATGGAGTTTGTATTTTCTTCCTGAGCATGCGTGGGTTGTCTCTGTGAACTCTGGCTTCCTCCCACAGTCTAAAAATATGACTGTTAGGTTAATTGGCCTCTTTAAATTCTCCTTTGGTGTGAGTGTGAGCATGAATGGTTGTTTGTCTCTGTGTTGCCCTGCAATGGACTGGCGACCTGTCGAGGGTGGACCACATAGACAGCTGGAGATAGGCAACGCTTAGGATGGAATAGTTTCATATTTAAACTTTTCTGCAAAATAATCTAAAAAAGTGCATCCAACTTCTGCCTATCGGTCAGGGTCACAGTGGTGCCCATCCCCAGCGATCCATGGACAAAAGCCAAGGTACACTCTGGACAAGTCATCAGTTTATCGCAGGGCAACACAGCGATATAGAACTTTCCTTTGACATCCATTAATTTCTAACCCATTTCTACAGCCTAACAGTGAGCTTAGCCTTAACCATTACAGGTTCATACATTACCCTAACCCCAATCTAAACTCAATTCACACCAAAACAGCAAAGGCATGGGGCCCAATGAGCAGTATCACACTATCCTTGTGGGGACTTTCCATTGACCTCCATTCATATTGCATTCGTTTCTATGGCCTAACCCAGATGCTAAGCCTAACCATTACCAACAAATTAACCATAAACCTAAACTAAACTCGATTCACAGCCTAGTTCTAACACTAACCTTCACTCCAAGAAGAGAACATTTCCTGAAGGGGACTAGTTAATGGTTGCAACACCTACAAAACCCGAAAATGTAGCACATTTTTGGGAAATTGTCTCTACCAGGTTACAAATACCTGTATTTGTCCAGTGTTGCATTGTGATGGACTGTCGGCCTGTCTAGGGTGGACCCCGCCTCTTGCCAGTAGAAAGTTGGAGATAGGCACCAGCACCCCTCACGACCGCACTGATAAAGCATGTCAGAAAATGGATCGATGGATTAATCTGTCAATAATTTTTTCGATTAATAATCACATCCAAAGGTTCCTTAAAGTAGATCTTTTGCACAATTAAACCAGGTGAAACTAAAACTTATCCACTTGAGGAATTCTGGATTACGGAAGCCTAGAGGGGTCGTACTCGACTTTTTTTTCCTCTGCCTTCTAGACATAATGACATAACTATCTCATTATCATGGCTTAACAATTAATTGTTTTCTCGTGATAGCAAGATAATTATCTCGTTATTATGAGGAAACAGTTATTGATTTCTCGAGATAATGAGATGCTTAACCTGTATGAGTAATGGAGAAGCTGGCAAAGAGCCCTGGATCCCCAGTCCATCCATGCCTGTGGTGCCCGTAGTTAGTTTCCTTTTTCTTTTCAGTCATTGTCAGATCGTGGTGGATGATTGGATTGTATGGAATACAGTAGAATCAAATCTGACAGTTTTTTAATGAAACTCTTTAATCTGAACTCATTCTGGGGGTTAATGCATCTTACAGTATACCTGTTCTAGGCGTAACAGCGGGCTGTTCAGAAAAAACCCGGAGCTAATGCGCTGGAGGCATAGGTCTAATCTTATAAAGCATATCATCAAACCAACAACCTTGTCTCGTTACCTGAAAGTTAAACACAGGATTATTTACAGAATTATACATAGGCTGCCATGACTCATACTCATAAATCCTCTTCCGCTGTTGTGGTATTAAAGGATGTAATCAGCTTTAACACACACTAATCATCTCGTTATGACGAGAAAACAGCTTTTGTTATCTTTAGATAATGAGAAAATGTACTTGTTTTTCTCAAGAAAAGCACTGAGAAAAAGTATTAAAGGGACACAATCGCTCTTGGCTTCAATACTGGATAGAGCATATTGCCAGACGCAAAAGTTTTTCTATCTTAAAAGCAAAATGTTCATATATTTTTTTTACAATTTTGATATAATAACTGTTTTAATTGGGTCGGCCTGTCAGCTAAAGGCATGTTATACGGTCTCTGTACTCCATTTATTAATTAATCGATTAGTAAATTAGTTGAACATAATTTCAGTAATCAGTTAATCACGATTAATCCGATTTACTGTTTCAGCCCTAATCCTAACATGCATCAAGGATATGAATACAGGATGCTTGGTGTCCAGGTTGCGTAGGATCTGCAGAGATATTATTGGGAGGGAAAGTCATCTTTAATTACCATCTCTGCGGGCATTATTGTTTGCTGCAGTTTGGATCTGTCCTATTTCAGGAATGACTCAAACTGTGTGGATAGACTAAAAAAAGGACGACGTTGAACTATAGATCTCCTAAACAGGATTCCCCCCAACTTTACCTGCTGCAGCTGCTCAGTCAGGAAGCTGGGGATCCATGGAGGTGAACTTGGTGAGCTTCCAGTGGAGAATGTCTGGGTTGATGGTGCTGAAGAGCCATGCAAAACACCACAAACACAATCCTAGGATATGTCCCTAGATGGTCAGAAGGTTGCAGGATGAAGTTTAGTCTCTAGTTAAAGGAATCCTCTGCTGATCTGTTTTCCCAATAAACAAACTACCTGGGATCCAACATGCCAGGGGGGCTATGAGCTCTTTCAAATGTTAATTCAGTATCTCATGCTGACTCTGCTGCCATCTAGTGGTTGATAGAAACTTTTGCTAGCAGTGTTACTGTAGCAGTGTCTCCTGTGATGGCAGAGGAGTTAGTAGTAATATCACATACCTGAAACTGTACATATCTGCCTTTTTAAACTGAGTGACATTTATATAGTTCAAATGGAAGAATTCTCCCATGTGTGTACAGACAATGTTTCTTCCACATATGCAGGGAAAGGAAATGTGTCATTCATCCTGGGATAAATCCTTCCCTGATCTACATGGCATTATGATAATGTTGCACTGGGATATTTTTGGAATAAACAATACCATTGATAGGGATGAGATGGGAATTTAGGTGGGGGTTTTCTGCTGAATGTGGTTTAGTCTTGTTCAGAGGATGGATTTACGAAGGGGGTGGGGGGCAGCTTATATGGTAATCGGATTTGAAGGCTCCACTTGCTTGTTTTTATGCCTCTTGTCCTCCACAGGAGATGAAGGATTCATCTGAAGAAAAGCTAGATTTTTTTTAAAAGAGCTTACAAAAAGAATTTCTTTTTTTTTTGGATTCCTTTTCCTTTTATCGTCCCATAGCTTCTTTAAACTTGTCAGATAAAGCCACATATTCAGTTTTAAACAGAACCAGGATTTAAGAGAATTAGAAATAATTCCTAAAATGTGACATTCATCTGTATTTTAGCCCACCTTACTCTGATACTACTAATTCAAATCTATTCAACTGTCTTGTCTAGTTCACACAGTATTTAAGGAATAGAAGCAAGAAGAAAACCACTGCATACAGAAACCGACAGGATGTTGTGTTAAATTTATTCACCAACAAATATGGGACACAAACATGTGGAAGATGGCTGTCAGATACCAATGTAGAACTCTCGATAATTTTCAAAATGCTAATTATGACAGTTGTGGGAGTTTTCGTTTTCATAGCATCCCTGTAGGGAAGCATGGCTTTGGCAGCATGGTGATGTGGAGATATTTAATTTATTAGGTGTTATGGAAGATGCTTACATGAGAAACCTGACCATCTTTAGTGACAGAGCTTCATCTATTAAGCTAAAAAGTGAAGTTCAATCAATAAATTATTCATTGGAAAATTTGAAACTTTATTTTACATTTGCTCCACTTTCAGTCTGACGTAGCTTGAGCTATTTCCTAAGGAGGAATGGGTAATAATTTAAGTTTATCTAAACAGTTCAAGTAAGTTTTGCTTTAGAAGAGTTGCTTATATAGACTTCAACACTTTATTTGTAATCTCTTCGATTGGTTCTTAATAGAATACAATTCAATTCAAAAATATGTTATTAACCCTATAGGGAAATTAAATAATTTGTTAAATAACAATTTATTAGGAATAGATCAACAGAAACAAGTCATTCAAATTTAAATCTTTATAGTTTTGACAGATACATACTATTAAAAAAAAACTGTAATTATTCACAAATTTTCCATTATTATTAGAATTTGCTTCAGGAACTTTGGAGGCTGCAAAAAAATATAAATGCAACACCTATCTTTTAATGTATTTTATACTTAAAACCCCCTTTTTTGCATAAATGTTTTATTTTGATTTATAATCAATAGCTGAACATTCAAATCTTGTTGTGATTCTTAAGGTATCTTCATCTAAGAGAACTCTTAAGTTTGCAGATTTCTGAATAAATGTGTAATGTTTGCCTCCCAGGTTTCCATTATGCAATGGTGCCACCTAGTGGACCAATTTGTAAACTGCATTAGTTACTGTGTATAATAGCCTGTTTTAACTAAGCCCATCCTCTCTGTGTGAGGCAGGTCTCTTAGGTATGGTGGCCCACATGATGTTCACCACAGCCTTCCAGCTGACTGTGAGTCTGGGTCCCGAGAACTGGAAACCTCAGACGTGGGACTACAGCTGGTCGTACATGTGGGTACAGTTTGTTCTCAGAAACCTTTTCAGTGAAGTTCATAAACTCTTCTCAGTCTGACTTTGTTTGATTTAAACCTGAAAACAAGAAGAACAAGAATCTCATTTATAAATTAAACAAAATCAGCTAATGATTCTGCAACGCAGGGACCAGTCAGTACTGAATCTTTATCTGCAACTTACCATTAGAAGCCGAAGTTATCTTCTGGACATCATTAAGTCAGCAGTTTTTATGTTGTTTGTTTAGCCTATTGACCCAAACTGACACCATTTGGTGATCAGAGCACCTTTAACATTTGCTTTTGGTTAAAAGTAAACCACTATCATCAAAAAGAGTTTCACAAAAAGTGACAAAATTTATTCAACTTTTTCAAAATACTCTAATATTTGGTAATTTTTGGAGGGTTACTTGTATTTCTTTAAACATTTCTTTCACAAACCAAGATGTTTCATTACATTTATACGCTGGTGAAGATTCTCCTTCATCCAGGTCATAGTCATTCCAATAAAGGAAAATAAAAACAATCTACTGGACTTTTTTTCCAAGTTTAAAGAGGTTTCGCTTCCCATCTGGGAAGCATTCTCAATTCAAAATGCCAGGAATAGCGTTGAGTTCAAGATTAAGAAGGAAAAAACAACCTTAAACAGAGGGGATAGACTCAGGTTTCAGCTTTTAAAAACCTACAATGCAGCAATTGAGTGAATCCTTTCCCGCTATTATCGCAACTCCTGTACAGCATAGCGGAGAACCTCACCTATTCAGCCAGGCCAACAATTCCCTTAATGACCCTCTTTAGGACACTTAGAAGGGTATGGGACATTGCAGGCTAACAAAAGAAGCAAAACAAACCCCATACCAAAGGGGGTGGATCCCTTCATCCGTTTCAATTTGCATGTTTTTAAAAACTCACCGCCACACGATTCGACTTCAAATTTTGAGGAAAAAAAAAACAAAGTCCAGTAGATTGTTTTTAATTTTCTTTTTTTTAATTCTTATTATATTTATAGTATTCTGATTGATATTTATTCGTTCAATATTATCCAAAAATAAAGATACTTTAATAAATTCTCTCTTTTTTCACAGATTGGCGTGGAGCTCTTTCACAGCCTGCATGGCCTCCTCTGTTACAACCATCAACCGCTACACCAAAACCATCCTGGAGTTCAAGCACAAGCGCAGGAACATTGAGAAGAACCTGAAGATCAAGCAGAAGCTCCTGGAGCTGGATTCTCCGGAGCAGGTGTGGGACATGTACATCAGCTCTGTCCCGAGCACCGCTGAAGAGCTGCTGGACCTGTCGACGAACGGCCGCAAACTGTCCAACGCCTCCATTTTCCTGGACCTCAACGACCTGCCCGACCCGCAGGGAGAGGAGTATTGCTAGAGGAGCATTTGGAAACAAGGATGCTGTGTCCTGTGTGCTACAGTGTAAATACAGGAAGAATCCTGCTGAAAGCTTTATACTTTCGTTTTCATCATCCGTCTTTATTAACTTCCTGATGTGGTTTGCTCTCCAGGAGCTCTTAAGATGTAAAGTAGGATTTTTATTTTACAGATTTAAATCAGGATTCAACCGGAAGAATTTTAGAGCTAATTCAAGGTTGGACCCGCCGTGGGAGCAACTGATTGATGAGGATTTCACCAGCATTGCACATCAAGATTAAACCATCAGCTCTAATTGAAAGCTGTCTTTTCTCATGTATACCACACATTTAACAGTACAGTTCTGAAACAAGATCTTTATAGACCGTCTCCTGGATTGGACGGACATATTTGTTGTGTTGTTTAAGTTTTTTTTTTTTTTTGTTATTGATCAAATTTTACATGAATTTTTTATTTAATGGAACATTATCAATCTCACATTGAAGAACTTTACATCTGCATTTAACCCATCCCTTTGGGGAGCAGTGAGCTGCCATCGTGGGGCGCCCAGGCAGCAGTGTGGGGTTAAGGGTCTTGCTCAGAGACCCAGAGTGGCAGTCTGTGGGAGTGGGGCTCGAACTCAGAGGCCGCCACTCCCCAACTGAAATTGGATGGATGTAAAACAACTAACTTTCTGAAACTTCAGAGCTTCAACACAGGGTAAAAAGTCGTCTCTTTGTGCTTTTCTAGGTTATTCGCTATGAAATAAAGAGCTGCTGAGTTATTAACTAAATGAAGGTCATAATGATGACAACTGGTGTTTTGAAATATCAGTAACCATTACCTAAAACTGAATTTCCCTTCGATGATTAAAAAGGTATAATTGCATTGCATTGAATTGCATCAAAATGAGTCAAATCGAATTGAAAAGTTAATCTAGCATTGCATTCTATATTTTTTATTCTCGTTAGCCACCTACGCGTTGTAACATCCAAACCTGCAGAGTTAAGATGCTGGTTGGGAACTTTTATTATCCTGCTGATGAGTTATAGTGTCAACTGCCTAAGAGACAAAGAAAAAATGTAGTTTGAGCTGTAGCCTACAATTTAACTATGATTCGTCCTTATCTTTCCTCCTGGATATAGTTGAAAAAAAGATCAATGCTTTGAAAAAGTCTCTTTCTGCTAACAAGTTTATTCTCCTTAATCACATTTTAAGTCCAGACTTTGACTAAGCCACCTCATAATATTGGTTTTCTGTTTGAGGAGCTCAGCAGTGAATCTGCTTGCTAGGTTTGGATCACTGTCCTGCAGCCAGGGACACTTGTTCAGTATATCAACATCCATGTTTGCCAACTGGTTTAGGGCAGAACTTTTGGCTCCTTCAGTTATTGGAGGTTCTTAGATGCCAGGTGGATGCAGCAATTTGCTCATTCGATTTTCATCCATAAATCATGATTAGTCACCTTAACTAAAGCAACTGTTGTCTTCAGAGTCTTAATGGTCTTTTTCTGTCTTCTGGAGTCATTTCAGCAGGTTCACCCCTGAAATGTTTTACTTGCAGCTAATTTCTCTGAATGTGGTCCACTGGAGTTTCAAAGCTTTAAACGTGGCTTTAAACATAACTAGATTTTTTTTTTTTGTATTTGGTCATATCAGCTAATGATGTTGCTTTTGAGCACGCTAGATCCTGCTTTATTTTGTCACACAGGTATTATTTAATTGATTTATTGGTTGTTTAGATCAGGCAGTAATAACTTTATTGATCCCACATTGGAGAAATTTATCTTTGCATTTAACCCATCCCCTTGGGGAGCAGTGGTCTGCCATTGTGTGGTGCCCAGGGAGCAGTGTGGGGTTAAGGGTCTTGCTCAGAGACCCAGAGTGGCAGTCTGTGGGAGTGGGCATCAAACTCAGAACCTCAAGATTCCTAGCTCTATGCCCTAACCATTCCCAACCTCGGTCCTGGAGGCCCGCTGTCCTGCAGGTTTTAGAGGTTTCTTGCTCCAGCACAGCTGATTTTAATTGAAAGCTGATTAATTTGTTGCAGTATTTTGGTGCAATCATTATAATCAGCTGTGCTAAAGCAGGGGAACCTCTAAAACCTGCAGAACAGCGGGCCTCGAGGATCGAGGTTGGTGATGCCTGCCCTAACCACTAGGCCTCCACTCCCAGCTACTTAAACAGCTTCCTATAATTCCTTGTATTCCTTATGTTACATTTTATATTTTGTTTAATGATCATAAACACTAACTTTGACCATTAAGACTGAAGAAATCTGTAAAGGGACTAACTCATTTTCAGGGCACTGTATGTGGGATCTCCTTAAATAACACAATATAAATCTGCTAGGACTTCAATATAAGCTCCTAAACACTTCACATTATTTCTCACCAAAGTAATAAGCTATTATAAGCTCTGCTAAGCACCATTGCTAAGAAGGGAAACAACGCATTTCTTAATGGTTAATGAGAAAATGAGGTCGTTGGGAAAAAAAATGAAAGCTTGATTTTCCTTCTTGGTCAACATAATATAGTGAAAAAGAAGCACATTCACCAGTTCAGATGCTTGACCGATTATTGGAGTTTTTTTCATTGATGTAGTTTTGGAAAAATGCTGAACAAGTGACTTTGTGACTTTTGAAAGCTGTACATGCTGAATTATGGCTTCCCTGGTGTTAAAGCCGTCTATTTAGGGCATTGTTGATGGACTAAACTGTCTAATTTTTCTCAACAATTGAATCATGTAGCTGTTTGACACAGTTGTGCTTTGATGAATGTTTGTGCTTTATGAGACATACTCGGGACTGAGCAGACATAAAGAAAAGCTAGCTGGAGGATTCTGCTTTTTCATGCTCTGAGGCAAAGGAAGTTGGATTAAAAAGAAGATGCTAACGCGGATGGCGGATACCTAAAGGAAACGCTGAGTGCCTTTACATCCAGAAGCATGCGTCTGATCACACAGCATGCTCAACAAGGGCAAACATGACCACTTCCAAAGCAAAGAGTTGCTGTTTGTGCAAATAGCCAAAACTTATATTTGGAAGAAATGTGCATGTTTCTAAGGTTTTTGTTTGTATTTTCACATTAATGCAAAACTTGATAGAGACGCAAGAGAACTAAAAGCATTTTAATGTGCATTTGGGCTTATTTCTTGTGGAACATCAATGACTATTCAACATATTTGGTTTAAGTTTTAACTGTTTTCCCCAACCTGTATAAGGCTAAAGCATGAATCTTTTGTCTTTATGTGTGCTTTATAACTTACAATATTTACTGTGTCTCTTTGTGTGTGTGGAGTGTCTTTGTTATACTTTTGTGGGTGATTATTGCAGGCTAATATAACAAAAGCATTTATGAACAGATTTTATTGAAAGCTAAATAAAAATCATACATACTGTAGTCTTAAAGAATAATAGTTTCGTTATGATTGCTTTTTCCTTCCCTTAGATTGTTCATTTAAAAACCACAAGATGGCAGTGTTGCCTTGCTTATTACCTTAAACGTGGCTCACAGGCACAAGAAGAGGAACTTTGTTCTAATAATTAGGGTTAGAAAAAATTTATATCATTCAAATTTTTTAATTAGAAGTGCAGACTTTCAACATCTCATTACTTAGACTATTTGTACTCAATCATCTCTGAAGTTAAGAACATTGTTATAAAGAAGCATCTCACCCCTCTGCATCTTATATTCTTAAGATTAAATTATATATTTTAGTTAAGTTAATCAGTTCTGTAAAGTTATCCCAACCAAATATAAGGCCCTTATTAGATAATGAGCTAGCTGCTTTTAACAATGTCTTCTTATTTTAGTTTCAGTAGCCAGAATAAGTCCTGATTAGAACTGATCTGCTAAACTATGACCTGTCTGATAAAAAGAAGTACACTAAAGGGAAAGCAAGACACCATTTAAAAAGATAAAAAAGAGATGGTAAAATAATGACTTTAATATGTCTGTGTGTAATGGCCTTACAAATTGTTTTTTAATGCAATTGGACTCATACCAAGGTGAAACCCTCATGGTGCAGACGTGAGTATTTTGAGGAGCATCCAAAGAACCAAAAAGTGCCTCTACAAGTCACCCTGGAGGATCTCCAGCGCTCTCTTGATTTAATAATTTAACTATAAAAAAAACACATGAAAAAAACTGGCGTCCATGGGTGGGTAACTAGATGAAACCCATTGCTAGCCAAAAAGAAAAAAACTTGTTTCATATTTTCTGAAAAACGTAATTATAATAATCAGCAGCTTTTCGAAAATATTCTGTGGAGTACTGAGACAAACATTCGTGTAATGTAGGCTGCTACCCCATGAAGGTACTTTATGGGAAGCGGTCACTCTTTATATCACATTTTCAACAATACTTTTTCTCATAGTAAACGACTCTCAGACAAGACTTAGAGTTTAACATTATTTAATCTAAACAGAAAAATGGTGAATTTACATTGCTGTGGCTCACTATGTCTAAAAGGAATCATAATGAGCCAAGAAAAGAATTTCCCAGATCCTCCTTATACCTCAGTGTACCATGTGTCTACCAGGTGGGTGGTTATCTCTATGTCATCGTTTGACAAACCCTGCCTTCTTCTCCCTGCTGCATCTTCTTTGCCTCAGGATATAAGCATAAGTTCCCCTTAACAAGCAGGTCTTTAGAAAAGTAACTTTATTATGTATTATCAATACAGGCTGTTATATGTGTTTAGGTTGTCAATCTATCTGCCCACTTTATTACCCTAAACTTGTAACATAATAAAGGTAAATAATTTTATCCTAAAGAAAACAGATCTCTGCTTCTTAGGGAGACTATACGAATCTTATACTGTGGGTAGTTATTACTGTATTATATATGCAGAAGTATAGACATATATTTAACAAGCTAGTTTTTTTTTTTTTTATTCAATTCAATTCAGTTTATTTCTATAGCGCCAATTCACAACACATGTCATCTCAAGGTTATTTATAGTTCACCAGATCATCATTCAAGTATTTCTATCTAAGGAAAACCAGTTGATTGCATCGACTCATTGATTGAAATGCAATTCCTCACACCCAGCATGTTTTTAGCAACAGTGGAGAGGAAAAACTCCCTTTTAACAGGAAGAAACCTCCAGCAGAGCCAGGCTCAGTGTGAGCGGCCATCTGCTGAGGCTGACTGGGGTTCAAGGAGACAGAAGCAGAGATACAAAAGGTAACTGTAAAAGGCGGCCCGGTCCAGAAAACACACACTAAGGCAGATGAGCTCCGAGCCAGCTCCCATGTCAGAGGATGAAGAGAGCACATCCAGCCAGTCATAGTCAGAGAAACAGGACTACACCGATCTCGAACATCTATAAACAAAGGTGTTGATGGCAGCACCAGCCTCCTCTCCAGGTTGGTGTCACAGCCAAACAGGATTAGGGTTTAACAAGCCTTCTTTATCTCAGTATATTAAGATTTTAGGCATAAATTGAAATATTATGACAGACTTAGAGGGCACTTACTTTTTCCTCATAGGGTCAGGACACACAGGTGCATAACTTTTTTCCCCCTCTATTATTAAATTAAACGACAAATTGGAAAACTGATTTTGTACAACCTCATGTTATACTCATTTGATGACCTGAAATTGGGACTAAGAATACCAAGAGCAAGAATCTATCAGGGTGCCAATACTTTTCCTTTTTATTGTATATTTGAAAAACCACTGCTCTAATTTAGTTTAAGATGGATTGATGTTAATATTCAGAACAACGATGGATGTTATCAAAAAAGGGTGAAAAAAAAGTTAAAACGCAATGCCTTTGCTTAAAAATATTTTTATTTTTTCTGTTTCCAACTAGTGCAAATACATGCAAACAAAAAAAACATGTCTGTAGAAGCAGGAAAGGCTTGATACATCACATCCACAGGACTGGCTACTGTAGTAACAGGCAGAACTTCCTGGTATTGATCTTCATCTTTTTTGTCCCGTCGCCCTCTGCTGGTCCGCTCACTCTGCTCTAAGCACAGTAGGCTGGTTTTGCACTCGCTAACCTAAGCAAAGCATACAAATGAGCCAAGTGATCCATACCAGTTCCCACTCCATCCATTTAACCACATTCATTATTCAAGGATACAAAAGCACTCAGTCAAATCTGAGCTCATACCCCCCACCCCCCTCTGCTGCTTACCGCATGAAAGATTCATTCCAAGCTTTTTTTGGAAACAATGCTTGCAGAACATTTTTCTATATACAAACCCCAACTGCCTTTACACTCTTAAATTAATACTTGCAGATAAAATGGGGAGCAAAAAAGAAGGAATTAAACCAAAATGTGTTCATTCTGTTGTTTCCCTACACAGCTTTGAAAAGTCTGGAAAGTATGGATTTTGTTTTTCTCATTCTCCAGTATGGTAAACTAAGGTAAGAAAAGAAATATGGAAAAATTATTGATTTACTAGCTTCTAAAGGCCAGTGATACCTAAAATGCACCTTGATTTCTATGAATTTTAAATGGTTAATCCATAATTTACCACATTACAGCTTGATTTCAATATTGTACCTATCAGTTATATGTTTTTTTACTTCCTGTTTGAATGTATTCTTATTGCGAAATCATAAAAGGCCACGTCACTTTTTCTGTGTTCTTTAGAAAATGTTAAACTTGACCTTTGGTTCTTGAACGGGACCCAAAATGCTAAAAAAAAAAACACCAAAGATGCTGTTACAGGAAAACTTTTACAAACAAAATAAAAGTTCCTAAATACTTGAAATGTATCGAACAGAACATATTTGAGAATAGTCTAACAATTGAATCATTTGAAAGAGTGAACAAGTTCAGATACAACAGACCTTGGAAAGACATTGAAAAGATGAAATGATTTACGTCCAAACGAAGTCTATGTTTGGTTAAAAAGTGAGCTGTAATTTTCAGATTGTTGAAAAGACGTTGAACATCCAGGTTTTACGTCTATTATCGGACTAAAATGGGACAAAATCAGATCAACCAAACAGCCCAGGTGTCAACAATTTTTTCTGGACTAACTCAAGACTATGACGAACCGACCAGCTTCAACCTAAAAACCAATGTCTAAATAACATCTAATGTTCCGGTATGTGGGAGGGGGGTACTCCAACTACACACTCCATAGTGTCGTTACACTGTTTGGGCGATCTAAAAACATACACAAAAAAAATTTGGATAACAATAACTAACAACTAATCAGTGAAATCCAAAGTTAATTCATCACTTTTCCTTTATTTTACCAAAATCAAACTTCACTGCCATGTAGATCTCATTAGCAAGAGGGGCCTGGACAGAAAGTCCACATCATACATAAAAAAAAGTCAGAGAAAATACAATCAAACCCTCAAAGCAGTCATAAAATGTTGAAACTAAAAGATATTATAGCGATTTAGAGCCCTGGCACGGATTTATAGATTCACATAGCTTATCATGTTTAAAATTTTAGTCTATATGTTGATTATCAAATATTTGGTCAAATCAAGGTATTAAATCAATAAGCAATACCGGTATGTTGTAAAATCTACAGAAAAACATTGAGCTGTGAAAAGTCTGAAATGTATAGAAGAAAAATTGCACAGACACTGAGTTTTAGCATCTTTGTACAACTATAACAGCTTGTAAGTCAGACAGTGAAAGCTTTTCTGTGTCTACACCAATCATCATAAAACCACACCCTATACCAACCACAGTCTGAATGCATCTTTCGCAGAAGCACAAAGCGGTATTTCTGACATGTCAAGATGAATGGCTGATGCAGACAGAATGTATTGACACTAAGATTTCAGAAAGAGGTCTATGGAGATTCTCCTTGGCTGGAGACATTATTGACTGTGTTTAGCGCACTGAGTCGTTTCATCTGTCTCAGTCAGACAGAAGATTTGCACTAAAGCAGTGCCAACTGAGGCGTCTAACTTCATGCAGGTAGAGGATCAGTGCCATCCAAAGTTTTGCCCTGCAAGCTGGTAGAAGCGCTGGTTATGAGGCTTGTAGAAATCCCTCAGTTTCTGAATCACCTCTGGGTCTATGGAGACATGTGTCCTCCCTTTTGTCTTTCCCAGACAGTGGGGTTTACTGCTGCCCTCTGGTTTCTTTAAGCAAGGAAATCCTTTAGTTTTGTTGAAATAGAAGTGTTTGTCTGTGACTATCCTCTGAAGACCCAGAAAGTCCTGGACTTTCCCCAGTTCTCCAGCCGGGTCAGAGATGAGCCTCTCCCCGCTGACCAGATGGATCTGACTTCTGGGGAACCATGCCAGCCAACGCTCCATGTGCTGGGCATAGAGGCCGATCCACAACGGGCTCCACAGAGAGTCAATCTGACCTACAGAGACATGTAGAAAGGAGGATGGTCATGACTTCTTCATAATTAGGACGGGGACACACTACCAGAAAGTGAATACAAATGTTCATGGCATGTTAAATATACATGATTCTTAACTCTTTTCTATAGAAGCTATTTAAAGCCCCATAATATTCTTTTCACCTGGGTAAAAAGCAGTTTTGATTGCTCTAGAAAGCTTCAGAAAATTAATATAGATCTGTATGTTATTCATCCTAATGATGTGTGGTGGAATTGTGAAGATAACTGCACTACACCATGAGTCCAAACATCGAAGAAGAAAAGCACAAAGGGAAAAAACAAATCTAACTATTTTGAGAAACAAAACCTTTTCTGTTTAAGAGCCAGGATAAAGAAAATATTTTAAACCATATCTATACAAACCTGCATTTTTGCCAGAAAAGTTGCCTTTTTAATCTGCTGGATTTATTTGTTTATTTACAGAAGCTAAAAACATATTATTCTCTAAATTATTCCGAATTTATTGATAGGATCAGATAAAAAAAATATATAATATAATATATACATTTCTAAAAAAAAAGAAGAATATATTTTATATTTTGGTGAATGCAGTATATAAGTACAAACAGTAATTACTAACTCTTTCTTATAGTCCCTTTCACACTGAAACCCCACGTTTTTAAAAACCGTGTTGACCCGTTAAATATGGGCTTCTGGCTCTTTTCCCATTTGACCTAAAAGCTAAGTCTGACCCCCTGCTGAAAAGCTGCGTGGCCACTGTCCCTCACCACTGCATGTCCGACGGAAAACAGGGAGGTAAACAATGGAGAGCAACACGGATGGGAAACAGAGTGTAGTCAATATTCCTTATTATTTCACTCATATCTGTCCAGATGCCTCTTAGCAGTGCTGCAGCGAGTTTATCGAATGTAAACAGAGTTGTTTCGGCTTCTTAGATCAGACGTGGCTGGCGTTGTGTGTTGATGTCCGTATGTTTCGTTCAATGGTGTCCTGTGAATTAGTGTGTCAACCCTGGTCTGATGTTCCCTAATGCATCCTATCAGAGCCGAGGCGATTTTGATGCGGATCACATGCCGACGGGAAAGTCTTTTCAAAAGACCTGCTCCTAAACCAGGTTATTCTACCCAGCAATGGAAAAATGTCTACAGGAGATTCTATTTGTTGTCGTCTGTGAGTTTCATCCCTTGTTGGAAGTGTCATGTTTTTGTACACAATTTAGAGAACTCAGATAATTTCTGTCCACATTAGTTTGTCATTTGAAACATATTGGCGTTTCAGAGGACCTCCAATAAAAGCTCAAATATCATATTCATTACAATGAAGGAATTTCCTCATCATCATATTGCCTGAACAAAGCAATTGGTACATGCAAAGTTAGTAAGGTCTGCTTATTGCAATGGTGATAGAATCTTTAAATAAAGTTGAAAACATAATTTAATTTATTGTCTACATCAGATTCAGCATGAAATATGGTGATATTATCATTCCATTTCCTATAGAGAACATAGCGAATGTTCAGCTGTTGGTCAAACTTCTTGTAACAAAAGTGCTCATATTTATGCCCATATTTTGTCGAGTCTGAATAAAGTGAGATGAGAATATGCTGTGAATATTTACTGTGGATGAAATGCAAATCAAGTCAAAATGGCTGAAAGACATTTTTATGGGCAGCAAAGGCATTGCCATGTGAAATGAGGTACCTGTGGTGCGGTTCTTGAAGGCCAGACTCTCAAAGGGTGGGATGTCAGGCGTCTTGGAGATAATCTGTGTATAATCCGATATGGCTCGTGTCACAGGATCACGAACAACCACGATCAGCTTCACATCCTGAGACATGGCATGGACCCGTGCTGGCGTGTCCACTGTGACAAAATACCGCGGCGTCTTCTCAATCACTATTTGTCCGTCAAGGGCTTTGGGCATCATACTCCTAGAAGTAGAGAATAAAAGAAGTTCTGGTATACAGTGGCTCTCAAGAGTCAAAACAATACTGCCTAAATAATAAAAAATGCACAGGGTTGTACATTTCTAAACTAATGCTTTACTACAGCATCTTTTAAAGTTTTCCTTAGCTAATGTCACATCTAAACATGACATAATTGTAAATCTACCTTAACTGATTTTCATGACAGGATTTTCTTTGGACTCTATGATCCTGAAAACATCAACTCAACCATCGCGACTTCCTCCACCTTTACAAAAACTCTCGCCTGAATAACAGTGACCCCACTGCATGATGCTTCCACACTCATGTTTCCCTAGGAATCCATGTGATTGTAGATAAATATAAAACACCACAGCACTTTTTGGATATTCCTGTTCTTGAAACACCTTAAAAATTGTAGTCTTGTCTTTTCAGATAAAAATTCAAGAAAAATGTCCAGTTTTCATGATGTCGACAATGTCCTCTATGTTCATCAATCATTAGTAACTAACTTAAGTTTCTCATATTGTATAAATACTTCTCTGTAAACCCTCTTTCTCCTGACTCATACCTTTGATCATCTTATGCCCTTGTTCCAATCAGTGGGGTGTGACCATTTTTACCACAAGGCTAATTTCACATTTATCCTTGCAATTTTTAAATAAAGCATACTACAACTCCTTAATTATTCACCTCATTTTGTGAAACTATTTTTACCATCCTACAGAACAGGGGTATGGATAAAGATCAGATAGTAGTGGTAAATGTGTTCGGTATTGGGTGACATCACACGAAAACAGTGGGAATGCACCCACCCACAGCCTCAGGCTGCCTCATACAACCCATTACTCACTGCCATTCATCATACAACAGGCATGGTAGCATGAGCGGTGACGAAGCATCGGCACAGTAACCCCCCAAAGATGCAGACCAGCCACTGAGGTGCAGCTCAAGACAAACACAAGAGTCACTCTCTGAATGTGTATCAGCGCCATGCTCCTCAGACTCCAAGACAAAGCCCAGCAGATGGGATTCATTTAGAGATAAATGACTCCAGAGGCCCCCCAGGACCAGCTGGAGGCTCAGAGACATCTGCTAACACACCTGCCACACACCTGACCGACTGATGGAAGAAACACGGCTCTGATTCAGCATCTTAGCTCGTATTAAATGCCTCAATTTAAACATAGGATAGATGTTCTAACTTTAGCAGAAATTGCTTAAAGATAAAAATGGGAATACAATTACTTAGGGGTTGGGGAAAAAATGTAATCTTCTACAGATAGTCAAGAAAAAAATAGCGATGAACAAAAACAGCAAAAAGGCAAAGACAATTGCGATTATTGAAAAGTATCCATTCAGCTACATCTGCAGTAAAACTGACTCAGCATTGTGAAGTCATCATGCTGACAGTCAAACAGGGTGGTGGTCATGTCATGGTCTGATGCTGGTTTGCCTCCTTAGGAACTGCTTCTATTATCATAAATGATGAAAACAAGAAATCTCTATTGGTTTCGCTAGGGGAGCACCGATTGCAGCTTTATGACCGATCACAGATGAGTTTTAAAAAGCATTATTTTTATAACTAACACTGTCACTTAGACTTTGACAACTTTAATTGTCATTATGTATACAAAGAGTGTATACAAAGTGAAATTTGGTTTTGTACAACTCTCATGACATTTCCATTTCTTAAAGTGTGATTTTTATAAGATCACAAGACATTTAAATCTATCTTAATAAAAAAATAAGAAATCTGAACTACTCTCATACATAGATTAAAGTTTAAGGCATTGGCAGTAGGTGGTTTTCGGACCTTTAGAGAGGTAGATCAGATTGGTGGAAAAGATCAGTTTCACATCCATGTATTGTCCGATCACTGATCTCCCAAAATTAACTAAATAGAGGCTGATCAATCAGCCGTAAGATAAATCAGTGCAACCCTAGTTACTGCCGGGCCATGATTAAAAGGATCTAAACCTCAAGCCCCCTTGGTGTATGGTTTATAAGGTTATGTGAGTTGCAGAGTCAAAGTCTGGATATAACCCTGAAGTAATGCGGTGGTATTACTTCATGTTTGAAAACTCTCCAATAAGCTGAATTAATTAATTTAAAACGGTAAGTGGTAAAAGAACCAGATTTAGGTTTACGGGGCAATTTGATTTTCCACATAGTTATACAAATTATCTTTGTCTGATATGAAAACTTGTATGATGATGTTAAACATCTATGTGTGGCAGAAGAAAAAGCAAAACAAAAAATCTATAAGGAGAAAGTTAATTTTCACAGCACTTTATATGATATAGTAGATTAGTTTTTACAGCATAACTGACAGATTTGCTCTGACAATTAGACAAATAAGACCAGGATACACTTCATGGCAGATGTGCAAACCCTTAAGTCCATCAAATTTAAATTGCGCTTTTACAAAAAGTTTTAAAAAAATTATTAAACCAACACACATTTACTTTTTTTGCTGTTACATTTATAGAGATGAGTCTTTAATTTTCCTTAAATGAGTTTCCCCGGTTTCTTATTTCGTACAGTTAGAAGAGAAAAAGTTTCCAATGAGCTTTGAACGAGGCATTAATAACAGAAGGACGTGCAGAGAGAAATTACACACATGCAGCACACAGCTGATAAGAGTGAGGGCAGGATGCTCCAGCTGTATTCTTGCATAGGCTCTGGTTTCAGGTGCTCCTGAAACCCAAACCTCCTATCAATACGACCTCTCCCTTCAGTCTGACAAACTCACATACACACCTACAGTCACACGCGTGGCGATTTCATTTGATCGGATGAGTGTGAGGCAGTTTTCACCGCCGCTTAGCCTGAAGACTTCCCTTTTAACTCTAATAACCCTGAGCAGCAGGAGCCGTGCAGTCTGTTACACACAGAGACACAGACTCGTGAAGGCATGTGCACAACACACACACAAAAACACTGCAAAACACAAACATACACTCATTATTCACTCATTAGTCAATTGCTCACTATCATGCCTCTGCTGTCCCCGTGGACCCAATTCTGAAAACCAAAAACACACACACCCACAGAAGAACAGACACATTTTATAAAATCACAGAGATTCTGCACACTTAACGGGTGGGTGTGGTGGATTTAAATGCAGTGTGTGTGTGTGTGTGTGTGTTTCTTTTAAATGAAAGGGGTGGATGACTGATGAAGGAATGATGGCAGTGGACGCAAACGCGCCTCCATTAGCAATCTGTCGGTGAATAGCCTCAGAGCCAAGAGCCCCATACCATTACCTAAGCACAAAGAGCTAATTACTGCCCCTAAGAGCGCCATCAAAAGAAAAGATCTCTTATAAACATGTTTCTGCTGCAAGCTTAGCGAAGACCCACTAATTGACAGACAAAATAGCCGTTAGCTTCTCTGATAATAAAACCTCTCCCTTGTGCTACTTCTGGCATACAATTCCAGCGACCTTGAGGATATCTCTATAACTTCAATTTCACTGAAAGAGAAACATTGCGTAATATGTTTTCACCAACACAGTGTTTGTTTGCTATCATTCTTTTTTCTGCCTTGGAACATTTATAACCCATTAGTTCACACATTGTTCCCTTACAACGTTAAAATTTGTTTTCTATCATGATCTGATATGACATACCAACCTAAAGTAATGGCTTAAAAGATAATTATAATTGATTCTCATAATATCACACACTAATACCAGAATTTACTGTAGTATTTCTCTTTCTATTAATAAGCAATATCCCCTCATGTGCGTCATTAAATCTCAGCATATAAATGCAGCTGTTCTGTGAAGGCCTGAGAGGTTTATTAGAGAACATTAAGGGACATAAACGGGTCACAAAATGATTTTTTAAGAAGTTAAACCAGGGTTAAGTTGTAAAACAAGATCCTAAGCTTTAAATATATCAGCTTTCTAAAATCTGGAAATTCAATTTATTTCAATTTAATTGAAGATAACTTTATTAATCCCAAAGGGAAATAACATGCTGTATCTTACTATAGTGAGCTGTTTAAATGTAAAAAGCTGCAGTTGATCCCAATGGAGATAGCATTAGAATCATTTGCAGTGAATTCAGTGAATATCATTTTTTTCCATGAGCCCTATGGGTTTGTAACCAAATCTTTAGTGACCTTCTTGCAATGTATTTTTTTTTTTTCTACAATAGCGTATTTTGTTGCCACTACTCCAGAAAGACAAAATTTGTGAAGAAAATAAGTAGTATTCACCTGAGAGTTTTAGTGTCATAATCTACCATTCTGGACTTTTTAGTTCTGTGTAAGTTTCCATTTTGGCTTCTCATTTATGCTTTATTTTTATGTTAGTCTGTATTATGAAGATTTATATCACTTTTGATTTCTTAGTTTTACTCTTCCTTGTTATCTATTTTCTGCATTTTTGCTATTTTATAATCCTTGGTCTGGTTTTAGTTAGTAATTTCAAATTTTGGTTATTACACATTTTGTAGTCATTGCCTATTGCCTTATTTAATTATTTTCTAGTTACAGTTAAACCCTGTTTTCCGTGGTTACTCTTTGTTACCCCCAAGTGCTCTGTTCCCTTCCCCTTAGCTCCTTTCTAGCTTTTTCTGTCCACACTTGCTCCCAATTAACAGATTACCACCAACCCTGACATTAAGATGCTTCAAATTATTGCTCCAAATAAAAACTATCAAAGTTTTTGCTTCCAACTCATCAAAATGCATCCCATCAAATTAATTTTCCATGATTTTTTCCAAAGCTTAGCATGAAGTCGGATGTTGTCGTTTTGCAACATTAGCCTTTTTTTTCCATGTAACAAAAATGTGAAATTTAGGCAAACTTCGAAAAGTTAAAAAAAGAAATCCGAATTTGTTGTGTTTGCATCTTTAATGAAGTAAATTAACTAAGCACTGCAAAGCGTAAAGTCAAACATCGTCGATATTAAGTCTTTGCAGATGGCCATAGTAAACAGGAAATAGAGGCTGCATTCCAGCTCTGTCTGGTTCTGCAACAGAAGAAAGTGTTAA